TTTGGTGATAAGTGGAGGTCGTGGATGTACCAATGCATGTCAACTGCTGAGATTTCGGTTTTAGTAAATGGGTCTCCTACGAGAAATTTCATACATCCAGTGGTCTGACACAAGGATGTTCGCTTTCACCTATGCTATTCAACTTGGCTGCTGAGTTGCTGCATTTGTTGTTAACTAAAGCAGTGGATTTGGGACTGTTTTCGGGGTTTGATTTAGGAGTGCAAGACGAGCATTCAAGCTGTCACATCTTCAATTTGCGGATGATCTTTTCAGTAAGGCTCTATTCGCGAGTTAAGGAATGTTAGAAGAGTGTTACTTATTTATGAGCTTCTGGTGGGGTTGAAGTTAAATCTAGGCAAAAGCAGGATTTTTGGAGTAAATGTTGAAGATGGGGAGTTAACTACTTAGGCAGACGTTATTGGCTGCTCGGTTGGATATCTTCCATCTGAATATTTAGGACTGCCTCTGGGGTACAAGAGGAATTCGGCTGCTATGTGGGATCCTATAGTGGCGAGATTTCATGCTAAATTGAGTGGTTGGATAGCTAATTCTTTGTCGATAGCGGGAAGGTGGTATGATCAAATCGGTGCTTTGCTCTCTACCGGTCTATTTTCTTTCTATGTTCAAAATTCCAACTACTGTGCTACTTAAACTTAACTCTATCATGGCTTCATTTCTGTGGGGGGGTTCGGTTGACACGAAGAAAATCCATTAGGTCAACTAGAAGTCGGTTACTAAACTAAAAAAACTGGGGGTCTAGGGGTCCCTAATCTAGCACTAATGAACCGAGCCTTACTAGGGAAATGGATATGGAAGTTTACTTTTGAAAAGAAGTCTTGGTGGAAGAGAGTGGTTTGTGTTGTTTACAATCTGGATCTGAATTCCATTATTATGGGGAATTCGTGGTCAGCTCGTACATCGTGGATTTGGAAAGGTGTGGTGAAAAACTTCTTAACAGTGATGATTTTGGAGATTGTCTTAGAAGGAATGCGTTTGAAGGCAGGAAATGGGGAAGCTGTGGAGTTTTGGAATGATGTATGGTTGGGTGATGTTCCCTTGAAAATTTTGTTTCCTAGACTTTATGTTCTATCAAATAATAAAGCGGGTAAAGTGAAGGAGTTTATGGTGAATAATACCTCGGGTTGGGTGTGGGACATCCAAATGAGAAGGAATTTAGCTGACTGGGAAATTGAACAGTGGCTGCAGTTGATCATTATGTTGAATAATACCTCTTTTTTTCCTGCGGAAGATGATTGTTGGATTTGGTTAGGGAATGGTGAAGGAATTTTCACAACAAAGTCTTGTATAAACGCTTTCTTTGACCAAGGTGGTTTTGAGCAAAATCATGTGAATTGGGAAAAGGATATTTGGACAGGGTTAGCTCCTCCAAGGGTGGAAATGTTTGTTTGGCAATTAGTGCAGCAAAGAGTATCGGTTAAAGAGGAGTTAGCAAAGAGAGGTGTTGCGAAAATTGTTGATCAGCTTTGTGTTTTGTGTGGTCGGGAGGTGGAATCAGTTTCCCATTTATTTCTGCATTGCAGGGTTGTGTGGGGTCTGTGGTCTTCCTTCTTGAAAATGTGGGATGTGTCATTGGTGATTCCAAAGTGTTCCATGGATTTTTTAATTTTGTGGGATGATTTTATGACTAACTCTTTGATTTGGAAATTCATTCCTAGGGCAGTGATGTGGTCAGTTTGGAAATGTAGAAATGAGATTATCTTTCAGAAAGTAAAGCTGGATTTAGTCAGATTATCTTTCATTGTAAGATTTAGAGTGGCTTCCTGGTTTAGTGCTCGTTTTAAGGATGTGGGTATTCTTTTAGATTCTCTAGTAGGTGATTTGAAACTTGTTGATTCGTAGGCAGATCAGGAAGGGGTTGCTCTCGATCAGCTTGCTGGGTTCCTCCACCAGATGAGTTTCTAAAGTTAAATGTTAATGGAGCGATGATTTCGGGGTGGGAAAAAGGTGGTATTGGTGGTCTGATTCGGAATAGCAGAGGACTATTGCTACAGTGGTTCTCTGAATCAGTAGGGGTGGTCCTCCTATCTTGGCAGAGTTGTTGGCAATTAAAAGAGGGATTTGTCTTATGGAGGAGTTGGATTTGGTCCCAAATAAGAGATTTATCGTGGAATTAGACTCATCTATCGCTCTGAAGTGGATCCAGAATTCGGGTTTAAGCCCCCCTTTGCATCTATCCTTGGTGAAGGATATAGTTTCGCTTTTGACTGGAAAAGATATTATATTTAGGCATATTTTGAGGGCGGCAAACTAGGAAGCTTACAAACTAGCTAAAGATGGGATAGGGTGATTTTTGGGTTATTTGATCGTGTTGATTAGTAGGAGTGTATTTTCCTATTTGTTAGGTGGTTTGTTTTAAGTCTTATGTTTTTCAGTAGAAAGTTGAGGAGTTTGTTCAGTCTTTGTAATTTGGCTCTTGTGAATAAAAGTTTTGTGGCACTCTTTTCCTCCTTCTTGTTCCTTCATGTTACCTTCATAACATGGCAGGGCTTGAAGGCGGTTTTTAATGAGGCTTACTTTCTATCAAAAAAAAAAAGTTAAATCAATGTAGATTTTTGGCTAACAATTCCTTGGGATATCCCAAGCAGTCAGAGTAATTCTAAGTAAAATGTAATGACAAGCTTCATCTCCCTCCTTTGGTAAGACTGATGTAAGACAACAAACCGCTATAGCCTATTCCACAACCATAACTACATTTCCATTATAAAAACAGTGAAACAGTTATGGCATTCAGCTGCATCCTAACAGGTAGACCTAATTAAAAGAAGCAACAATTATAGCACAGTACAGATATATGCCTATTTCCAAAAGCAACTGAGCCTTCAGAAAGAATGACAGGCACTAACTTAGTAATACATATAACTTCAGCTTTTATCTCATTCAATTTTTTATTGGTGACAGAAGCTTAAAACCTTCAGCTATTTTTGCATTGTTACATTTGTGGCAGAAGCTTGCAGCATCCCATATACATGGTTACAGTTGTGTTGGAGTTATTAAGAAGCTTTTTTTCTCATTGGAACAAGCATAAGCAGCGAACCTAAAACATAAAGGCTTACATAGACTTCATATAAAGTTAAATCAACGTAGATTTTCGGCTATCAATTCCTTGGGATATCTCAAGCAGTCAGAGTAATTCTAAGTACAATGTAATAACAAGCTTCATCTCCCTCCTTTGGCAAGACTAATGTAAGACAACAAACCTCTACATCCTATTCCACAGCCATAACTACATTCCTATTATAAAAACAGTGAAACAGTTATAGCATTCAGCTGCATCACTGCATCCTCAGACCTAATTAACAGAAGCGACAATTATAGCACAGAACAGAATCAACAGATTGATGCCTATTTCCAAAAGCAACTGAGCCTTCAGAAAGAATGACAGGCACTAACTTATGCAGCTTTCCAATATAACAAATAGATATTATCAGTATGTACGCTACACGCCAATTTGGAGCTAACAACTAAGATATTGTGTTTAAGAGGTACTAACTCCCGTCTGAAAACAAATAGATACTGCCTCTTACCAACAACATGTAGCCAGAATTACTCCAGTTAGTAAAAAATGGAAAAGCAATACCGAAATAACTACAAAAACAGCATGTGCAGCACTGTGATCATACCTGCATTAGGGAGAAGATAGAAAAATATTACAATGGCAAGGTCATCAACAATATATTAAGCAGTTCAGTGGAAAGGACGAAATAAAAGAAAATAATTCCATTAGCATTATTATAGAATTCAAATATGTTAGTACATTATTGGGGACACGATATTACTTTCCTTGGGGGAACTTAGCACCTTCATGAAGCATCCCCAATCATGTTGCTTAAGACTAAAAAAGATCCAAGGCTTTTTTGCAAATTCGACATATGCAATCTTACAACAAAGATACCATACAAATTATAAATACCATAAGCATGCCAATGTGAGATCAATAAAATTGAATCTAAGACAACTAATTCCTAATCAATCCTATAAATCCAAAAGCAAGGACAGCTTTTAAAGTTTCAATGCCTAGTAAGTCATTTTCTTTATATGCAGTCATGTTTGGAAATGAAAAAAGAAACTTACGCAGCACAATAGGCTACTGTTGCAACAGTCAAAAGAAGGCTACAGATTACAACAAAAGCAGGGTCGTCACGTGCCCACTGATTTTTGGTTTCTGAACGAAAAAGACAAATGAAAAAATTTCTAGCTCATTAGATGATGGAAAGAATCCAATAACATCACACCTTCAACATGTTAGTGGAACATAAAACTTAAAACCCCAAAAGGAAATATAAGAAAAACTATTTTACACATTAATTTTAGAGATATAATCCAGTATTGCAACTCTTAGCAACTTATGGGTGCTTTTGGTGTGCTCCTAGTTTCTTTCATACAACAGGGAGACAAAGGCACAGAAAAGTCACCTAATAGGTGAAAGCACAGCCCAACTGCATTGATACTCAATTAACCACTTTGATAGAGTACAAGCCCGTTAAACATATAGAATACAATTTTGTTGGTATAGGCCAAAGGATGATGGCACTTATCAAAAACTAGCACATGGATGTAGAAAATGATTTACAATATTGACTATTGAGAGCTCATTATCAGGATTCAATACTCAATAGCATATGCATTACCACTTGATAGCATACTATATCTATAGGAACAAAAGTAGCATGCCGTGATTGAAAACATCGTTGCTACTAAAGTACTGAAAATGGACACAAATGAAAAAAAACAATTAAAGAGAAATAAACTTACGCTTGTGATATTTTGTGTGCTGATAGCTGCATCCACCATAGAAAAACATATGCACAATAGAACAAAATAATAAGAAAAGAACATTTAACACTCAAAAAGCTTCTTTATGCATATAATCCCTTTACTCCAAAAAAAAAATCAATAAGCATGGGCAGAACCAAGCAATAGCAAGTTTCAGGTGCCAGATACAAAATACAGCAATTTGTCACAATACTATGATCTCTTCCCAAACAGAAAACATACATGAAATGAAATAATACCATTTTCAGGATCAAAAAAGAATAAATAGCAAATGCTCAAAATTCTTTTGAGATAAAGAGGATTACAAGCTCAAATTTCATCACAAGACTCTCTCAAAATGCATCTAGTGGAAACAATGATAAATAAACTATCAGTCAGCAAAAAATGAGTGTCCATATAGGTACTTTTCTTCTATTCCCAGCATCAGATGAATTTAGCAACCGGTAACCGAACAATGATTACAATATGGGACGACAGGAAAAAAAAGTTTAATAGGGGTCAATAGTATACTTACACGACCTTTGGTGCAGTACATAGGTGAAGCATTTGCCAGAATGTATATTCAATATCCATTTGTTGCCACTACACAAACCAACAAAGCAGCACAATCAGATGAAACAAACCATATACTTCAAAGATGATGCTGTAGAAATGTAGTACTAAACCAAGTTAATTGCATATTTTGTTTAGCTGGAATTAAAGTTTAGAATAATATTTCAAATATAAATACAATGAATTTTCACATTATGTGATCGAAGCAATGGAAATTTACCGGCTTACACAGCTATATCTGAAAAAGTAAGAATTTACATTATACAAAAACCAGTTAGGATGATTAATCTACTCAAAACTTAACAAACATTACCGTGAGTGCTCAAATTTAACTTGACAAAGACATACAACAAAGTCAAATTGTTCATTTTATTAGAAAATTACCACTTAATTAGTAGGAATTCAATTTGAAATGGTTCAGGCTATTGCTATTTTGACATAATCCAGGGCAGAAACTCAGGAATTACTAAATGGATCCAAAGTCGTATTACACACAAATCACTTAATTCTCTTTTCATTATTTCTCCCGTATAGAAATTAGAATTTAATTCTGGATTTAACATTAATCAATTATCTTTTACCATTTCCAAACGTCAAGTCTACTCCCTGATTCCAGATACTACCCGCCAGTAAATCTTAAAATTAGAATAAAAATAATACATAAATAAACATTGGAAGGTAAATCTGTGAATTCCATTCAATCAAGAATAAGAGCAAAGAGACAACCACTGGCAGAAAAATGAATGAAGGAAGCAATCATTCCTAATTGCATCAAGAATAAAAAAAAAATTGGATGGAAATTAGATAAAAATGAAGATCAGATCCAGAGATAGAGAGATTGAACCTTGACAATTCGACGGAGGTACTGAGGGAACTTGGAGTTCGGCCGAGATGTGGAGGGCGACGAACGCGTTTTGCTCACCGTTGGTAACATATTCCCTTATTGTTCTTCCTTCTTGTTCAATTAGCTTCTTAAAGATCTGTGGGATCCCTTCCTTGTTTTCCCTTTTACAGATCTGAGTCTCTCGATCTCACTTGAGATGAGAATACGGGAGCGTAAAAACGACGACTGTATTTCTCTCGGTCTCAGGCTCTGACTAGGCACCTGCCAGCCTCTATTCCATAACGTTTTAACATGGACTCTTTTTACATAGATGGGCTTCCAACTTGGGCTAACACAACCAAACCAATTTTCTTTTCCTAAACTCGTTCGAATTTATAAACCAATTACCTCTTCTCCTTCTTCTTCTTCTTCTTTCTTTTTATAAATATGTTTAAATCTATCAAACATAAATGTTTTATTTAGATGATATAAAAATTATATTAAGTCATTGGATTAATCTCCTCCCTATAAAATGAAGAGTAAACTAATTTTTGTAACGACATAGAAATTCAACGTCTATTAGGATTAATTTTTCATTTAAAATTATATAATGATCAATCCGTTTTAAGCATAATTGACTCAAATATTTTTAAAGGAAAAATAAAAGTTAGTTCTTTTTCTTTTTAACAACTCTAAGTAAGATAAATATTACAAATATACACGAATGAATGTATGGACCAATCAATTTAAATACATATTTTTCCTAAATCATATGTTCATTCTTTTTAATCATTTTTTAATTAAAGAAATAGGTGACTAAAAATTCTCAATTGACGTTTTATTTTCCTCTGGGCTATAGGTTTAATGCTCATTAAGAATAAAATTCTCCTTCTCTCTCATAAATAAGAATTGTTCCAAAAAGAATAAAAAAATATCTATTGATCTTCAAATAATATAACTTTTGCCCTAGTTAAGTTAGACCGACCCAAGTCACACACCTGACTTTGATTGGTGAATCTCTCGACGGAGTTTTTTTACATACACAAAAACTCAAACATAAACCCTTACTTAAGTGATATCAAACTACTTGCCACTTGAACCAACCCGGTGGTAAAAAATATAATTTTTTTTACAAAAATCATTTCTAAATTCTGTTCTGAAACGAGCCAAGCAATGAACTACCAAATATGAATTTCTGGATCCACCTCTCATTATACCCAACGATAATCCATACAATAAAATTGTCACATTTTCTTTATTTATTTTTTTTTTTTGAAGGGTAAACTGTCCCATTTCATAATATTTTGTTCCTGTTGTATAGAGAGAACAATTTAAAGTTTTAAGGTACCAATTTCAGTTGAAAAATGAAGAACAACCGAGAACCAAAGAGGATCAAACTAAACATTTCCAGGGGAATCGCCAATGGACTATTATCATTGTTTTACGACTTCAGAAACCTCTCTATGGAAGCTATATAGAAGTCCTTCGGCATGGTACCGACAATGGACTCTCGCTTCTCTCCGTTTTTGAACAGCAACACGACCGGTACAGCCTTAATTTCATAATCCTCTGCAATTCGAAAGTCATTGTCCGTATTGAGAATAAAGCAGTTGAGCCTCCCGGCATACTCACCTGCAATCTCATCGATAATCCGGTGAACCATTCTACAGGGGCCACACCAGCTTGCATAAAATTCGACGAGAACAGGGGAATCGCTGTTCAATATTGATTTCTCCCATGTGTCTTTAGTAACAACTGCAGCTATAGATAAAACAATCAATGGAACAAGGTCAATGTAACCTTCAAATGTTGTGTACTATCATCAGTAAGATTGCAGCAAAACACAAGAAGAAGAAACTCAACATAGACATGCATGCTTGGAATTCATTATAGTTTAATACCGAAGCATCATAAGATCATTGCCTTTGGGATCCAGCGAGATACCTTGTTCGATTCTGTTATTCGCTTTCTTTCAGCTTCTAAAGTTTAGAAAATAAATTGATATCTCAACAGATTCGACCACGACGATAAATGACAGTCACAAAACATTCATCACCCTTAACATATGCAATTACAAGTTTACAAGAACTGAGCATCCTACTTTTCCAGAATACTAACTTCTTTGTAGTCCATTATTTCAAACTTAACCCGTAGTTATAGATTAACTGGTGCATAGCAGGATGCTGCCGGACATCGCTACAACAAACTTTTCAATGATAATATCCATTTTAGAAAGGGGAATCACCTTTGAGAACTTACAAGTACACACATATAAAGAGACATATATATAAATATCTAAACACCCACCCTATATCACTGGATATCATCCTTGGATATCAAATATCCCATGCCATGCAAGACGCTTCACCATTCCAGGCTTATTTGGAAAGAAGGAGAAAAGCATGGCAAACAAGTGTCACAAGATGTGCTAGGACTAGGAGATGAAAAGTAGGAAAATTGGATCAAACTCAAAAGTATAGAGTGCATCAACAAGTTTCAATAAATAGTAAAAATAAGAAAAGAAAATATGTAAAAACAATTCATTGGAGCATATTTATAAGTTTCAAGAATTACATATCATGAATATTGAATAAGAAAAACGACAGAGGTCCTTTGCTATTAAGGCATTAAAGTTATGGTCGATGGTAGTAATAGCGATTAACAATAAAACTGTACGTTCTGAAAGGAATGGAAAACAAATCTTCACTAAGCCAAACTCTTGTTACCATGAAACTAATGCAAAAATTCCTTCGTACTATGGGGCTATTTTTACTTTTTGTTTTTGGTTTGGTTAAAGTGTTGTTCATGGAGCTGTTCAGTGAATGAACTTTTTACTGGTAAAAGAAGTAACAGTGGAACCCCTTTATTCCCTGTTATAAATTCCTTTACGAAATTATAATTTCATATAAATTATGATCTTTAAATAGCAGCTTATTTCCAATCAGAAACACCAAACACTTGAGGATAGCGATAAACCATGCCGACAGTTGTAAATCAATCCTTTGTCGATGTTTCAATCCTAGACTTTATCGCTAGTCAATATAACTAAGATCAAATATGAAATAACATGTATAAATAATAAATTAAAGGAGCAGATTAAAAGCCAGAATCTGAAACAGTAGTGAAGAAGTGGAGCAAGGAGAAAGAGAATACCTTTGGATTCAGGAGAAGAGAATGCCTTGAGAGGTTTAGGAAGGATATAGGAGGCGTTTTTCCAAGGGAATGAGATCCTTGAAGAGCCAAGGCTGCAGGGGAAGGGATGAAGTGTCGTGGAAGCAAAATAAGAGGGAGTAATCAAAGTAGAAGAAGCCATTGAAAGGTTTGAATCTGTTTGGTTTTGGGAGATTTTTCTTGCTTTTACCCTTTTCCCGTATTAGCGGCAGCTCATCACTGTACAAAACAAATGACAAATGGAAAATAAACTCACGTTTTCTTTTCTTTTCTTTTCCGTTCCATCCAGATACCTACAAAATGTGGGGCCCATTTCAGCCTACTAGGCCACTGGAAATAATTTATTTTTGGATAAACTACACGTTTAGTATCTAAATTATTACTCTTATTTTGTTTTGTACCTAAACTTTATTCTTTTTAAAATCATATCTAACGTTTAATTTAAATTTCAATTTGACATTTCATCTTTAAAAAAATTAACAAAATTGCTGACATAACAATTTTAATTTTTTGAATGAAGATTTGATATCACCTTCTGGTGACGCGTCAACATCACAATTAAGTTTTTAAAGGTAAAATAATAAAACAACACCTAAACAAAACATTAGTTATGGTTTAAAAAAGAAAGTGTAAATACTAAAATGGAACAAAAAATAATAATTTAAGAGCTAAATTTGTATTTACCCTTTATGTTTTATTGTTCGATTGGCGATAAAGACGTCATCGACGTAATTCTTTTTCAAGAATAGGTAAATTATACTATAGACCATTCAATTATAACCCCTTTTTATTTCGATCACCATTTTTGAATTCTTGTTAATCAGACCACCCAATAATTTAAAGGTATTCAATCAGGCTACTAGCCGTTAATAGTTAACTAATGTGCTGACGTGGCAGTTAATACAATTGGTATAATTTACATTTAGTATTTATTACTTACACAATCTATCAAAGTGGTCATAATTTTAAATTAATTCAATATCATGTGTCACATGTCACGATATAATTGAAAGGCTTTTATTCATTTAATTTAATTTAAGTATTTTTCTTCAATAAGATGGTGACACATGACATCATCTTATGGAAAGAAAGTAAATTGTAACAAAAGTATGATGCATTAGAGGTGGGGGTAATCACACCTCTGCACCCTTGGATAAAAAGGAACCACCTCAACCACTGGCCCAAGGCTAATTTCTAGTATAATGTTTATTTCAACTAATATTTATCTTATAATATAATGAAGATTAGAACAATAAAAATAGAAACAACACTAAAATGACCCAAGTCATGGTAAACAATATTTTAAAATATATTTTTCTCAGTGGTTCGAACATAATAAATATATTACTTTGACCATTTAAAATATAATAAAATAGAAGTAACACTAAAAAGACTTGATTCGAATAAATTAAAATTTAAAAATTTATTGTTTATATTCAACCAGTCCCACCCAAAAAATATATTGTTTACATTCGATCCGTCTCAACTTGATTCGAATAAATTAATATTTTAAAATAGTTAAAATAATATTTGACCCGAATTAAGTTAAAAAAATTTAAATAGTTGAAATAATATTCGTCTTGGATTGAGTTAAACTATTTTAACTATTTAAAATAGTCGAATATTATTTCAACTATTTAAAATATTTTAACTATTTAAAATATTTGACTATTTAATTTAATCAACCCGGATCGAGTTAAACAATTTTAAAATATTTTAAATAGTTGAAATAATATTCGACTATTTAATTTATTTGATCCAGGTCGATTTAAAATATTTTAAATAGTTGAAATAATATACAACTCAGATTGAGTTAAACTATTTTTAAATAGTTAAAATATTTTAAATAGTTGAAATAATATTTGACTATTTAATTTATTCGATGTAGATCGAGTTAAAATATTTTAAATAGTTGATATGATATTCGACCCGGATCAAGTTAAATTATTTTTAAATAGTTTAACTCAATCCAGGTCGAATATTATTTCAACTATTGAAAGTATTTTAACTTAAATTGGGACGAATATTATTTCAACTAATTTAAAATATTAATTTATTCGAATCAAGTCAAAACGGATCGAATGTAAGCAATATATTTTCTGGGTGGTGCGGGTTGAATATAAACAATATATTTTAAAATATTAATTTATTCGAATCAAGTCGTTTTAGTATTACTTCTATTTTTATTATATTTTAAATGATCAAACTAATATATTTATTATATTCGAACCACCCAGAAAAAAATATATTTTAAAATATATTGTTTGCCCTGACTTCCATCGTTTTAGTGTTGCTTCTACTTTTATTGTTTCAACCTTCATTATATTTTAAGATAACTATTATTTGATATAAATATTATGCTAGAAATTAAGCTTAGGTCAGTGGCCTAGGTGGTTTCTTATCACCCAAAGGTGCAGACGATCGATTCCTTCCACCTAATCACAATTTTGTTTCAATTTGTTTTCTTTCCATCAGATGATGCCACGTGTCATCATCTGATTGGAGGGGAAATATTTAATTTAAATTAATAAAATCCCTCCAATGATATCGTGACATGTGTTATCATAGAAATGGAGGATTAAAATATATTAAATTAATTTAAAATTATGATCAATTTGATAGATTATGTAAGTAATAAGGACTAAATATAAATTATACCAATTGTAGCACCAAACTATGTATATGGTAAGGAAAGAGAGATGGAGAGACTAACAAAACATTTGCTGAAACTCACATATTATTATTATTATGAACATCAATCGATGCAGAAGAAAAATCAGAAAAATACAAATAATGTGAATAACAAGAATATGTTTAAAACCCTCATCGAACAATTTGAAAAAAGAATAAATTTATAATGAAAAATGTCGACCACGCCACAAACTAATCCAAACTTCATATATATCACGAGATGAATTCCATGCAAGTCCAAGGATCAACCCTAAACCCGTCAGCACATCAATTAACCGTTAATTACTAGTAACCTGATTGAATGCATTCAAATAGTTGAACGATTTGATTGTCAATAATTCAAAAATGATAGTCGAAATGAAAAGGGACTATAGTTGGATGGTCTTTAGTATAGTTTACCATTTTAAAAAAAAATTTACCACAACATATGCATCTAAAAATAATAGGATAAACTATTTATTTGGTCACCCACCTATTACTTAAGTTTTATTTTGACTACTCAACTATTATTTTTTCTAAAATTATATCTAATTTTAAATTTTGTTTCTTTTTTATCACTCGTCATTAAAAGATTAACGACGGTATTGATGTGTCACTTAGTGGCAGATGCACTAAGCCCCCATAGGGGCCAAGTGTATCCCCATTATTTTGGAAATGTGGTTAAATTTAGCTTAATGTGTTAAGGAAAAAAGGAAAAAAATTACAATTTTTGCATACCCATTATTTTTTAAAAAAAATTAAAATTTTGGACCCCATTTTTAAATTTTTGGATCCGCCACTGGTGTCAATATAAGGTAAAGTCACATTAGTTTGAACAATTTTTTTAAAAATATCATGTCATCATTATCATTAATTTTTTAACGACAAATGACTAAAACAAAAATAAACCATAACGTTAAAAATTATCTAAAAATAATAGTTGAATGAATGACACAGAAACCAAGTAATAAATGTGTGACCAAATAAATAGTTTAACTAAAATAATATTATGTATTTAATATTTACAAAATATTCTAAAATTATTTTTAATAAATTTATTAATTATTAAAATATTTAAAATATAATCTTAATAATATAATATTCTTACTTTAATATTATATACTTTTCAATATTATAATAATTTCTAACTTTTTTAGTATATGAATATATATGTATACAAGTGTTAGTTTTTTTTTTCTCCAAAATCGATATTGATATTTACTTATGTGTAGGATATTTTTCCATAAAATAAATTATCAAAATAAAATGATTAACTCAATCTTTCGAAAACCAAAAAATAGTTTTTGAGAACAATTTTCTAAAATTATAAATTAAATTTTAATCTATTTTTGATGAAACATTCCACTATACATATTAGGTATCTTCAATCAATTCATAATTAAAATTCATATATCTATCGATGGTTGAATTTAAAACCTCTAAAAATAATAATTAATCATTTAATAATTGAAATTGTTTGATTGATACATATTGTATAATTTTAATGAAAATATAATATAAATTTGATATATGTTTCAGACTATATGATCAGGCGGAGCCATAACTTAGTGAGGGTGGGCACGTGCATACTTTGGAATCTGATTTTCTTCGATTAGTTATTTATTTTACTGATGTGTCTACCTTTAAATTTTTCGTATCATCCTTAAAATTTTTCGTGTCTACCCTAAAATCTTCATTTTCTTCGATTAATTAATTATTTTACGAACAGTGTCTACTTTAAAATTTATTTATATAAATTTTATTTAAAATTTTTATGTTATTAATATATGTGTCGAAAAATAATTCTAAATCTACCACAGATGATGATTGAGTAATACAAACGAGGAATTCTCCCAAAAAGTAAAAAGCGTAAGGGAGACCTAACGACTAGGAGCGCGTGAATTCCAATCGCCGGTCAACGAATTATCTGATTAGCAGAGGTAGGAGTCAGAGAGGGAGAGCGGACGGAAGAAAAATAAATAAATATCCAGTTGACATGTGCAAAAGACATTATCGTTATTGATGACGTGGCACCATGATGGTATTGACACGTGTAAAGAGTGACATTGGGCCCCACTCAACACCGCCTCTCCCTATTTTCTCATCTAAATTGGAGGCCGGGGTAGAGTGAACTAATTTTCACGTTCTTTTTGTTCTATTTGAAAGAACCAAAGAGAAAGGATTTACAGTGGGATGTAATCTCCCGCAGAGATTTCCCCTTGCCACTCCGTCTTTGGATCCTCAGCCCTGTGTACCTGAGTTGACTCCAACCAACTCGGATCCCTTCCAATCTGGTGTTACCATTCAGAGCTTCACAGACCCTACTGCAGTTGCACAACCGGTAACTCTTTCTAATTTAGCTTCCATTTTTCATTCCAAGTTTCGAATTATGGTTTGTGTTTTTTTATTCTTAATCGATATATCTTAGTATTTAGTTTTAAGTGATGCATGATAATTCTAGAATATTGTTTTGGCGGAGCAAGAAAATTGCAGTTTCTGTATTTATAAAATCTCGTTATTGTTTTTTTTAAGTTGGTG